CTGAAGTAGAAGTTGTATTTGATGCACCTTTAGAAATGTTTCTCAAGGTCCACTCTTAGTAATATTTCAGTATTATTTGTTTTACATTCTCGGTATTCATCTATAAATTGTCTAATGTCATTATATTAATCAGAATGAAAATAGGAGTGAGGAGAAGATGCAGTGGATGGGAGAGAATTATCTGATACATTTGTTCGACTATGAAATCGAGCATAAAAAATACCTTATATGGGGTTTAACTGCTGGGATCTTGATAAGAGCTGCATCAATTGTGTACCAGCAACCGCCAGCTTTCATGGAGCAGAATCCTAAATTCAAGCTTCCTCGGACATAACTATGTAATGCATTGAATTTGACATTTAATGTATTTTAGCCCTTAACATCTTTTCATCCTACAGTAATATTCATCACAACTGTAGATTTCAAGAACAGGTAGGTTATACTAAGAAAGAAAAACTGTCCTAGCTCTTGGAATTCATATTTCTACTTGCAGAATGCCATCATAAGTTGCATTGGTTTACTTCAAAAGATGTATCAAGAATCTTAGAAACATTTGCTAATAATTTGTTTTACTTAGTTATCTATTTTCAGTTTAGAAATTCTTCTGACTTTGTGAGAGAGTAGCGAGGTTCAATCAATAGTAAATGGCGATGTTGTGGTTGGGTACACCATTGATTGGAATAGGAGAGTAGGGTTACTAGATCAAGATGTTTGGCTTGTTATTTTGTAGAATTTGTGTGATGCAATAAAGGAACCGTGTGGCAACTAACACGAAAGGAGTTTGCCAAAACATTATATAATATATTATAGATGGAACTTCGTTATTTATTTATTTGAATTATCTACTCATACGAAAGGAGTTTGCCAAAACAAGATTATATATTATATTACACAATTTTACACTGAATTCTGATACCAAGAAACAAACAAACTAATTAATTTGGCCATGTTTGGTTCTACTTCAAGATATGAATCGGTTCAACTTAGCCAAAAGCTGGATAAATTGAGACTAGCTTTCACATTTTTGGCGGATTATACTCAAAAATGAAGAAACGCACAGTTATGATGTCAATACATACATACACACTCTAATAGTTACTATCACGTGTCATGAATAACAATAACAATAAATGTAAGCGGTATGATGATTATGGTGGACAAGCTTATCATATTGTTAAAATCCTTTTTTTTAGAAGCTATTTGGATTTAATGATCACCACTTATCTTTCACTCTAATAGTGATGTACTCGTCACAAAATCACTTATCAAGCATGACCACCTTCTAATCGTCGTTGTCACTGTGAAACTTGGCACAGTCAAAATGGATTTATGGAAGCAGATTAGGGCTTCAAGGATTTGATCCGGTTGGGTTTCGACGAGAGAGACACAACTATGGAGAAAGTGTGTGACGATGTCAAAGATGGAGTGAGAAGGGTGGTCTGAGTGAGTACACAGTGATGAGGGAGTGGGTGGTGTGGCAGTCGAAGGATAGATCAAGCTTAAGAATGAAGTTGTGGTTGGTGTAGGCATAGCGAAGGAGGGTGAAAGCAGCGTAGTAAAGGAAGAAGGGTGAGGCTGAGGGAGTGCAGGCGATGGAGTGGGGAGGGTAGTCTTGCAGTTGTGGCGAGAGCGAGGGAGGTTGACAATAACGTTGGTCTCTTCCTTGAATGAAATAGATTTGAAAATCTTGTCTTCATAGACCTTCTCTACTTCTTTGATGTTTGCTGGTTTCTCTTTGATGGTTGTTGGTTTCTCTTTAGGTTCAGCTTCAACTTCAATGGTGATTATTAACTTTTCTACAAGTTTAGGTTCAACTTGAGTAGTTGGTATGGAAGAAAGTTGATGACGAGTTACACTTCTTCTGTCAGATATAGTTTTTGGGGTTTGTCAAAGTTGATTTTTGGGGTTCTTCGACTGTGGATGGATTGGAAGGAAAAAATTATGAACAAAAAGAAACACAGCCGAGGGTGTTGGTGGGGGTGATGAAGGTGTCTATCTAGTCGTTTGACTCAGAGGAGCGAAAAGGGGCGATGACAATGGTGATATAAAAGTGGACGGGTGTTAGGAGCAGTTGAGTGAAATTTAGGTTTTTTTTTGGACAAAATAGTCATTTATCACTAAAAAATAAAATTAATATATTAATAAAAAAATTTATCATCAAATAAATTTAAACCATTCAATTTAATTATTTATATATCTAACAATATTTTTTACTTCTCCATCGATGAATCAAATGAAAATTATATTTTTTATTTGTTGGTCTACCTATATATTAATATATTATATGATGTATTGGTCCACCATAAGTTTTATCATAAATGCAACATACGGAATATGTCTTTGCGAGAAATGTTATATAGTAATTTAGTTAAGTTTATTAGAATGATCAAAAGATAAGTTTAAACTTCTCTTGGGATAATATATATATATATATATATATATATATATATAAATTTTGAAGAGAAATGTTAATAAACTTTTTTGATATATTCTTCTCCTACACACGTTTTTTTATTTGGTAAAATTTATTAAGTATCATAACATTGTATAAATCTCTCTTAATTTAACGAGTCGTATATGATTTTATAATTTTAATAAATAAAAGACTTAAATGCAATTTTTTTTAGGTATAGTAGTTTGAAGTTTAAATTGGATAATTTTAATTTATCAAATATTATAATTGTGTATTTTTTGTCCTACCAACTTTTAATTGAACAATTTTAATATCTCAAATATTGTAATTATGTAATATTAATTTTTCAAAATATTATAATTATACAAGAGTGAAAATTATAATCTATATATATATTATTTAAATAGGTCAAAATTTGTATATTTGTAATACTTGAATGATTAAAATTCTACAATATTTGAAACACTAAAACTACTTAATTAAAATTTTAGGATTATAAATTATGACATTTAAAGAACTAAAATTATTCAATTAAATTTTTAGAGATCAAAATGATATAATTATAATATTAAAGAAATTAAAAATGAAATTAAATCATAATAAAAAAAAGTATATTTTGAAAGAATTTTATAAAAGATCTTAATAACATCTTTCAGTGCTCTAATATTATGTTACAAATTTTAATGCTTGAACTTTTTTTTACATTATTTTTCATAAAATTGTGAAAAGATTGTCAAGATTATTTTATTAAAAATTATCATAAATGTTAAGTTTATATTTTTTTTATTAGCAATAATCATACTTCTGATTATAACATATCATTACTCGCTAACTAATAGTTTTGTAATAGTAATTAGTCCCTGAATATGAGACATGGAATGTATAGAACATGTGGTATAGCTATGTAATATATTTTATATATATGTATTATGTGTATGTTTTATAACATTATCGTGTTATATAGATACATTTGTTTAAAAATGAAATTTATTTAATTAAAAGATTTAAATAAGTGATAAGTTATGTTTTTGACAAAAAAAAATTGTTTTATTAAAATTATGGATTAAATTGAGAACGATATATTAGAAATTAATTTGATCAATTTTTTTACATTATTTCTATAAAATTGTAAAAAGACTACAGGATTATTTAATTAAAAATTATAAAAAATGCTAAGTTTATTTTTTATTGATAGCGATAATCATTATTTTCATTATAACATATATTATTACCCGCTAACTAAAAGTTGTTCTAAAAGTAACTAAAATAAAATTACCATATCCATTTATTTCATATATATTAAAATTTAAGATAGGAAAATAAGAGTGAAAAATTGTTATTTTTAGATTAAAATATTCTTATTTAATATGTGGTAAATTATTATTATTATTATTATAATTATAGTAATTATTACTAAGTAGAGATATAAGAGAAAGAATTAGATTTGTAAAATATGAAAACCTTTTAACATTAACAAGTAACAAGAAAGAAGAAAGGATCGCGAGTAGCGGAAGAAGGAAGGGAATGAGTTCGAACAGGGCGGAGGTACGTGGTTCACAGAGATTACAAGCTTTGCTTCATCATCTTCGCTCTTCCCATTCGATGCCCATCAATTCCGATTCAAAACTCTCCGTTTCAAAGAGAGCTGCAGTTCTGATCTGTGTCTTTGAAGGCGCCGATGGGAATCTGCGAGTATTCCTCACGCAGCGAGCTTCCTCTCTCTCAACCCACGCCGGTCTCTGCCTCTCGCTTTCCGCTGTAAAGTTTGGGTCTTTTTGACCGTAACTCAAATGGGTTGGTGTTGTTGTTGTTGTTGCAGGTGAGGTTGCTTTGCCAGGTGGCAAGACAGAGGAAGACGACGCTGACGATGTACACACAGCCTTGAGAGAGGCCAAGGAGGAAATTGGCTTGGACCCTTCTCTTGTTTCTGTTATCACAATTCTCGAACCCTTCCACACTAAGGTATTAAGCTTCCTTTCTCCACTTCAATTTAATACTGCCCTCTGTCTATCTATGTTTTCAACTTCATCATAGATTACTTCAATTTAACGGTGCCCGTCAAATAATACTACCTTCTTCTTCATGTAGAATCAGAAAAAAGTTGAAATTGTTAAAATTAGCCTACCGTCAAAGATCTCAAGTCAACTGACCAAAAGTGAGGATATAAAGAAGAGGATCATCATCTTACAAATCGATTCTATAAGATTAAATTAGGTCAAAACTTCTATCATTAAGATAGCATCCGAGTCTATCTTAGTGATGTGATTGTTGTTTAGGTCTATAGTATCATCTACCATTAAGTTGTTATCAAATCATCCATAGATGTTTAATCTTGTAGATTTCACACTCAGGAAGCCTCCTTCTCTACATACCGAAGGTGTGTTGAAAATTTCATATTAACCAGGAATATAAATTTATTTGGATAAACTTTTCTATTAGTACTTTTAGAAGAAAAAATAAAAAAATAAAATAAATTTTTTCATAAGATAAAATCAACTTATGTATAAATTAATTTGTATAAGCTCTCTTATATAATTTATACATAAAGTTACAATTTAACTTTTACATAAATTAGTTTTAATTTATGAAAAAGTTTGTTTATTTTTTCTTCATATTTTTTTTCTCCCAAAAGCACTCTTAGAAAAATTCATCCCAGTAGACCCTTTATTAATCAAGTGAGGAGTAATCTAATCTGCTGGTAAATATTTCAATCAAATTGAACAAACCCTTTTCTTAGATCCTGAGTGACAGTGCAGTCATGTTAACACACTCACGTGATTAACCACCTTTCTGCTGTCCTGCCTACAAGCTCCAACTCTGATGGTCTTGGGGTTCTAATTCAGGAAAAACCTGCTTTTCTAAATCCAAGATTCTTAATCAGATAGGTTAAATTCGGCAATTCTAGAAAATGTTAGTATTTTACTCATAGTCACGTTTGGAATTCAATTATTAAATGCCGAGCTAATCAGTATCTTGCTATCTTTATTATAGTATTTAGCTCAAAGCTTCTTCAATTATGCCCAGTTTGGATTGGCTTTTAGCTTATGAGAGATTTTCAACTATAAAACTATATTATTAAGGCTTTTCTAAGCCAAGAAGGCAGAGTTTTGGTGCTTTGGAGAAATTAGACGAGGCAGCTTCTAAGAAAGTTGAGAAATTTATAAATTGATTTTAACTTATATGAGAAATTTGATTCAGTTTACATTCTTGATATATTTTTTTTCCTTCTCCTGAGCATGTATGTAGAAATATAGAAATCTAGCTAGTTTTGATACTATTAAGGCACATGTTATCCAGGCTCAAGTTCATCTGCTCGTAGTGCAATTTTAGATTCTATTTTATTTCAGTCATTATTTTCTTTGGTGATTCAATCCGAATTTTTTAAATATTTGCTTAACTCAATACCCTTACAAGTTACAAGGGGGTTTTTAAGTGCAGTATGGCATTACAATAATACCTGTGGTTGGAATACTGTCTGACAAGGATGCATTTTCACCAATTTTGAATCCAGCTGAAGTTGAAGCAATATTCGATGTTCCATTGGAGATGTTCCTCAAGGTTTGTGCTACCGTTCCTGTTCTCTCTTAAAATTTCGTACTCTTATTTTTCCTGGTGGAAATTTTGGTGCACTTTTGACATAAATGCAAATAAACTTAATTTGTAACATGATGCTGTGAGTGCAGAATAATAACAGGAGAGCTGAAGAAAGAGAATGGATGGGGGAGAAGCATCTTGTACATTATTTTGATTATGAGGTTGGGAATAAGAAGTATGTGATATGGGCTATAACTGCTGCAATCTTAATTAGGGCGGCAACTCTTTTACTTCAGCAACCACCTGCTTTTCTAGAGCAGAGGCCTGAAATATGGGGAGGAATTACTGAAAGTGACATGATAATACTAGGGAGTAGTACTTCCAAATAATGATTTTATCTTTCAAGTTTTGTATAATAATTTAACACATGAAGCTGTTCTGCATTCTTTGGCAATTAAAAGAATTAGAGAAATAAATTGAATTCAGGAAGGAACTGAGGGAGAGTGAGTGGATTTATGAAGCCCTTCTTGATACAGAAATCATGATGGCCACAAGAAGGATATTAATAAAAATGGAGTTTCACTAACAATTTAGTACATTTTATCATGCTGATTAAGTTACTCTTGGAGTGTATTTTGCTATGAATTTTCTAATATTTAACCTTCTTGATACCAAGGGGAATTGTTGGTTGATTCACTTGTTTGCTAATTGATTTAAGTAGATAAAGTCATTATGTAATTAACCAAGTTTTTTGACTTCTAATCAATGAAAAGTTGCACTTTTCTTTTTTTAATTTCTATTTTATTTAAGGGGTTATGGAGCAACTGCAAAGGAAAAAAAAAATTTGGTTGCGCAATGCAATGTTGTCATGCTGATTATCAATGGCAGTGGCAAATAATAATGTGATTATCACTGTAACTTAATCTTATTACTGATTTTAATTAAAAAAATTCTGGCATTAAGAGCCTGTTTAGTTTGTCTTTAAAATTAATTATTATTACGATGCATGGTCTGATATAAAAATACGTAATTAAGATTATTTAAATATATATTAATTGTTACAATAATTTAAAATTAGAATTAACTTTATCCAATTTCTTTTTCTTTTCAAAATAAGCCCCCTAACACTTTTTAAAATGCGAAAGTAAAATTTTAAATTTAGGCAAATAATAAATCAACGGATAGGCCTTTGAACTTTGAAGTGACTATTTATTATTTGTCTTATTTTAAAGGTTTATTTTAAAAAATTTAACAATGTGAACCTTTTATCATATTTCATAATAGATATAATTTAATATCCGGATTGAGTTAGATAATATAAAAAGTATTTTGGAGTAAAAGGGTGTCTCACTCAAGCTTTTAAGGATTAGAGTTTAAAGATATGATAATGTTAAATAATGATGTATAATAGAGATGAATGTTTTTTTGTTATGTTAATACATTATAGTGAACCAATGAAATTCAATCTTAACAATTGTTTGTTTCTCTATCAATTTTTATAATTTATTATGATCAAGTGTTTGGTAAAAGTTTTAAAATAATTTTACAAGTTTATTTGTGTCTTTTTGTTGAGCTTTAATTCATGCATGTTGATTCACCTATCAACAAACTAAAATCTTATTTAAGTGGGTTTGAGGTAGTTGTAGTTTTAGTCAAAATTTGTTGAATATTAACGAGTTCATTTGAGAAATGATATCTAAATTCAAAATACTACAATGAGATTTGGTACATTTGTCAATTCATTAGCAACTATCCTTAAATATTATTGCACAGTAAAAACAAAACTTGTAAACTCGTGATAACTAAAAATAAATATTTACAATTTGATTTTGATATTTTAATGGAGTAGAAGTTACACTTAAAAGAACACTATAGATATTAAAGATAAAGGGAAAGCAAGAAAATTCAATGTAATTTTTATTCTTAACTTATCCTACATGGATTAAATGATATTTTAGGTCAACTCAATTTGGTTTGTATTACTTTTGGATTATTATTTTTTTCAATCCAATCTAGTTCATGTCAGACCATTGTGTCAAATTATCCCTAATTAAAATTGAATAAAAAAATAATTATACATTAAAAATTTTAATCTATTTTCTAAAATGAAAAAGACAAAATTAATTGTTGCATGATTAAGCCTTGAGGCAAGGAAGGAGCCAAATAGCCAATAGGAAATGGTGCTGCTTTTCATAAATATATCAAAATGAATCGGATATGGAAACCATTTGAAGATTATTAGAAGTTGGTGTTTCATAGAATCATAGTGTACATCACATGATGCCAAGGCATATTACTTATTATTTTTTTTATGAAGAGTTTATAATTTCTTCTCATCAAGTAATCTTTTTATAGGGTTAACGGATAAAGCGGTAGCTCCGATCATAATTTCATATTCAAGATAAATATCAAATTCTAATTCTTAATTAAAGGACATAAGAACTGCTTGATTAACAATTTTAGTAGGATAACTTTTAGTAGATCATTTCAGTATGATATGTCATGTGAGGAATACGGAATCTATAAAATTCAACACCTAGGACAACTTTTAGTAGGACATTTCAGTATGATATGTCATATAAGGAATTTGGAATCTATAAAATTTAACACCTAAAACTCTTGTAAACAATTGTTAATTCATTATCCAAAAAAAAAAAAAAAAAAACAACATGTGGTTGTACCTTTCTTGCTGGAATTTGGAGCTGCCTTTGTTAATGGGGTGTTGCACGTTGTGAGGGGTCAACAACGCCAAAGTGAACTATTACATTATTATTAGTAGTATTATTATTCTCTTTCAAATAAGTCATTAATTTTATCTAAACTTATTTTTTTTCGAATTAAGTGAGTTAGATTAAAATGATCAAATTTTATTTAGATTATTCTTTTTCAGATCTACACTTACCTTACTTATATATGCTAAGCGAAAATTAATAATTATATTTATTTTAGAAGGAAATAAATTAATAATATATTATTTTTTTTATATATTTATGTTTGACTTATTTTTTTTAAAGTTATGGTATAGATATTTCCAAAATAATAGGTAGATTTATGTTGAGAAGTGCAAACACCACCTATCATATGTAATAAAATTTTACATAATTTAATATGTAAATTTTGATTTTAATATTTATATAGACTAAATATTTTTTTTGGTGTCCTTCCAAGTACGAACCCTACACGATCACACTTTTAACCGTGCATAAGGCCGTCATTGAATTAATAAGTAAGATTTAACAAAAATTGTACTCTATCTTTTCTATTTTGTTTTGATGTGTAAAATTTATAAGATACAACTAATATTTTTTATATCATAAAAAGTATTGTACAATTTCTTAATATTTTTTTTATTTTTTATATTAATCAAATTGTCTTTTATTTATATTTTTTATCTTATAATAAATAGTTAAGGGTATTGTAACAACTTATCTTGATCCTTATACTTAATAGAATCATCTACTAATAATAGAAACAATTACCATCATCTAAGATTAACACTTAAACATTAAACAAATTATGAAATCACAATAACTATATAAACATATTTACAATAAAGGTCACATCACCAATAGAGTTACATTAGAATAACCCAACCAAAAACCAGCAACAAGCCATCTTTCATCATGGTTACTCAACAACAAGAACCTACCTCCAACTAACTCTACCTTGCTTTCATGTAAACATGATTATCATAGTCCAACTACTAAGAAAACATATAACAGTAAGCTAGATTTCAAAAGTAATCAACATAATGCAAATATAAAAGTATACAAATATACAACTAATAACCCCATGTAAACCAAAAAACAAGACACCTCATGATTCACGACATATCAACACACCAAACATTTCCACATGGTATTCATCACCCTTACATAAGTAAGCAATTTACTTCATATGATACATTATATTTTACTACATCAATGTCATTCCACCATATAAACAACAAGTATATGAACAACAACAAATTACATCACATTATATACATACATCACAAATAATGCGTCGTTACACATACACCTACAAAGGTCTCCCATAATATGGTGAATAGTTTAAATGACTTAACTTTACCAAACCAACACGACCTTTTTAATCAATATAGTTCAACTTGACTCTTATAGTGTGTACACTTATAGCCGGTATGTCTTGACCTGGTCCACATACCACATCAACTAAGATTCTAGAAGAGATTCAACAATCCACTCCAAGAGATAATACTTACTTAGTGAGGATTTTTTAACCACTAGGTTCATAAAACATTGCACCAATATCCATACAATGGGATATTCAACTTTCAGAAACAATCTCTCCTCTAGTCCTAAGTCGATCACATACTTAAATGTTTATAGCACTCTCATCATCACACCTCAACAATATACATCTATATCCATTATCCCAAGTCAATGTATATAGAACTATCAATTGAAATCAGTTTATAGCATACAAATACATCTCAACAATTCAACCATGAAACTATCTATATATGTTATCCTTGACCAACATACATAGAACAATTATCACCAACTAACATACAACATGTAAAAGACTCATCTAACCTATTCATATGCACCATTTCATCATACAAATAACAAGAATTTTCAAAGCAACATGCACTCGACGCCACACACCTGGCTCTTGACGCCGTTAAGGTAGGGAACTCTCTACCTTACCCACGTTCGACGTTATACAACCTGTGCTTAACGTAGATTAGGTAAAGTCTCATGCCCTGCCTTAGTCTAACTCAAGATGATTTTCTCTCCTCACGCCCAACACCACTCCTTTGGTGCTAGACGCCAATTTAGATAGAGTCAATTCTTTCATCCCACGTCCAACGCTATTCAAACCATGTCCAATGCCTTTTCAACTTGAGGTAATTCTCTATCCTTATTCTCGGCACCACCAATCATGTGCCTAGCGTGAGCAAGACAAAGGTCCCTTGTTGAAGTCATGCCCAACGCGATAGTGAGTTATACACATAATAGACTCACAAACTTGCCCTTCCTTCACTAGAAAACTAGAAACTCCACATGCAATGTAAAAATTCATATATATCAATAATCCACAACTTGAATTCAAGCCAAAAGTAAACATGTAACCAAGTACAAAATCAGAATCACCAAGTTTCTATATTGGAAACCAAAAACTCAAGGTTCCACCATCTCCTTCTAAAATCATGCATATTTAACCACCTCATTGCAACCAAATAGCATCCATTACATATACACAATTCAAATGTCCAATCATGAATTCATTTCTAGCTTCTGTTACTTCTGAAAATCTCCAGATTGAGAAGAAAAAAAAAAAAAAAACTCCGAGCC